GGAGGCCCTCCCTAATTCCACAAGGGTGAGAAGAAACACACACGATAACGAAACGTTGAATCATGTAGAACTCGTAGGGTAAATGCAAAGCAAATTAGGAAGAATATGCAGCAAGCTAAGCGAAGAGGTAAGCAAGGTTAGACTATACTACAACTACTAAACGAGTTAGTGTTACTACAACTCTACTACTACATACAAAAAAATAATAAAAACATCTATCAACAACTGCTTCAAAAAAAAAAAAAAATGAACACAAATAGGCATGCAAAATAAAAACTAATTCAAATTAACTACAAAAAAACATCAAACTAAGAAAATAATTTGAATAAAATGAACTTAATGAATTCTACTAGATACAGCATGCAAGACAAAGAACTAATTTAACAATGGGGTCATCTTTATCTTCTCCAACGTGAATCTGAAACAGATACGGTGGTAACAGATTAATGAAGGGCAATTAAAATTAATTATATCAAATATTCTCACCTTAATTAATTGTAGAACGTAACGTTCCAGAGTTTACAGGTGTAAAAAGCAAACCAACTCCAGAAGGAATACCACAGCAGATAATTTGTTATATAAGTGGAATTCAAGTAAATATCCAGTTGCTCTCACTCATGGGTTGAAAATTAACTGCATAATGTTGCAAGGCGAAGACGAAAATAGCAAATCAAGAATATAGTTCACAAAAGACCACACCCATGTAGATATTGGTTGTTTCAGTACGACCAAATTGAACTTTAAGTCTCTCATTCGTTGAACCATCTGTAGAAATTGACAAAATACACATTAATTACATTTTTAACTAAGGATGAAATTAAAAACACGCACCAAAAACCAAATAAAACAACCAAATCATAAAATGGCAACAAACGCGAAGTTTACATAATGACATCTCATACTTGACAGACAAATGTGTAAAATAATCACAATCTATGATATAGGCAATAGATAATTGTATTGTAATAATGTATTAAAAATCCACAGATACACGATAAACTCAATTTTTAACCTGTAAACCATAAATAAATGATAAACTGAATACCATAGATTCTGTGAATAATAGATATTTAAAAGAAATACTATACAAACGCCTTAACGTCATTTCATACTGAGAATAATAATATTACAGATTAATAATTGCAGAGAAGAGAGACTAGTATAGAAGTCTAATTCAAATGGAGGACTAAAACGTGAGTAAGAAATTCTAAATAGAACCAGGAGATGGCGTTGCTATGAAAATGAGCGCCTCAACGCTGTATTGAGTCGGAGCAAAGAGTGAACGCAGTAATGGCAGGGGTAAATAGTAGAAGTGGTGGGATCGTAGAACGCATAAGTCTTTTTCCTTTGCTGTTGTAAGCCAAGTTTGTAAAGAAAAAAAAATAAAACGGTTGATTTTCCGAAGCGACAACTACCGGTCGGATGACAGAAGCTTCGAGATTTACCGACATGTTATCCGAAACGAAGTCCGGATTATTAACCCAGCATTGGACTTCTATACTAGTCTCTCTTCTCTGATAATTGTCAAGTATTCTCACCTTAATCAGCTGTAGAAAGTAGCGTCCAAAGTCTACCAACATAATGAGCAAACCAAATCTAGGAGGGATGCCACTGCAGAGAATTTGTTGTTTAATGGCTCTCAAATTAATTTGTTACTGCCTCCTATTTCCAGGAATAAATTAACTGCACAATGTTACAAGGCGAAGACATCAAGAACATCGAATGTTTCAGTAGCACCAAAATTAACGCCAATTCGTTCTAATTTGGACAATCTATAGAAACAGGTAAGAAAGAGTAATTAATTACCACTTTTAAAGCAAGTAAATCGGTAACATGCACACTAATGAAAAGATCACTTCCACAGTAATTCTGCTATTCTACATCTGCCATTTCTGAAATGTTGTTTAAAAGTTGCCTGTTGAAGCATGTTACAAATGTCTAAGAAATTGAACTTTCTGGGACTTCACTTACTATTTTTAATTGATATTGTTACATACCGGTTCATTTTCATATATATCATTCCCTTAGCAAGAGCACACTGCCTCCATTTCCAACGGACAAAAGGCACTTTCATGCTTTCTTTAGGACCAAACGCACATCCACTGTCTGGAACAAATGAGGGCTAATATTACCAGTGCTATTTTTCTAGTAGCATCCGATGTTTTTCTAATGTTCTTGTAAAATAAAATTTATGAGGAAGTATTCGGATATATATAATTAGTTAAACCTTCCCAGCAAATAATACGCATTATACATGGTTCAAAAATTGAAGTAATGCTACTTTTTTCTGTGTCAATATCAGATAAATATACTATATAAATAATATCACATATATGCTCACCCTAACTGCAATATTTTCTAAGAAATGTTAACAGGTAGAACGACACGGCAGATAAAGTTCTTTTTCAGTAACATCAAAATGAACACCCTTCCACTCTTGATGTTATCGTCAATCTGTAAAAACAGAGAATAAAAATGAATAAACTACACTATTTATCAATAAAAATATGAAATACAATGATAATACGCACCGATAATCAAGACTGCAAAATTTTAAAAATGGCGACGTCGGGTCGCTTTTAATACAAAATGGCAAGATGACAAGATGCACATGCTGTCGATATACAGATTACTGTGAAGGAAAAACTATAGAGCGTAGATGGAAAATCATATCACCAAGACAACATTTATTATTTTATGTTCAAATTAAACTTTTCTATGAATTGTAATGAGAGACAGAATCCATAATGTAGTGGCGCTATAACCGCTAAATGGGACTTTTCAGAAAAAAATTAAGACTGAAGTCTCGCAATACATGCAACTTTAACGAAATAGCGGGTAGTTCGACATCACTACATAGTAAAAACAAAGTCGCTTTCGGGCTGTCTGTTTAAATCTTTAAAACTACGCAACGGATTTTGATGCGGTTTTTTTTAAAAGATAGAGTGATTCAAGAGGAAGGTTTATATGTATAATACATGCATAATATAGTAGGAAAACACTGATAATTTTAGAGGTTTCTAATGTGATGTCGTATATAAACAAATTTTTTGCGCTTACATTGCAAACGCTGGCT